GCGTATAAAATTACATTCTGACATTAATGTTAATGTCCTCTTGAACATCTTGGCTGTTAATGTTTGAATAAACATATATACTAGTAGTAGTAGCTAACTTAATTGAACCACATAACGTAACAATAGACATTGATGACGGTGAAAAATAAATAAATTTCGAATATGTAAAAGAACAAAGGATAGAAGAAAAAACAATAAGATAAATGTTTATTTTATTAATTTATACTTATTTTTAATATCATATATTAAAACATATGTAAATAGTTACTAATGGTAGGCAAAGTGTCAGTTCTCAATTGTCAGGCTTACAGAAATAATTGGAAATAAATATATATGTTATCAATCTTTTCAATCAATCTTTTTCATAAATTATTAATTATCATTATTTAATCGTATTTTTATGGATATAACTATATTTATTTTTATATACGTATGTATATTTTATACAAATATTATATTATACCTTATCTCTTGATACGATTTCTATTACTTCAATATTGGCTTTAGATATTTATACATCTGTTTCAAGAATTATAACTTATCCATGAATTTATCGTGTAATTCTTTTAATATTATAGATATATTATATGATTTTTATAAATAATTATCGAAGATTTTTACATATGTAAATAATTATTGAAAGTTATAAGAACGAAAGTTAAAAATTTAAATCAATAATCTGATAAAATAAAATATAAAAGTTTGTTATAATAGAAATAATTAAAGTGATAATTACAGATATTTCATTACTTGTTTTAAAAATGACAAAATTCAATTCCATTTTATTATCGTACAATTATGTTATGTTTTTGTGCAAAAAAAGAAAAGATATTTATATTTCACCAGCAAGACTCCAAATCTGGGACTTGATCCTTTCTGCATCCAGGTGATACGTAAACTATACGAACACAATTAGTAAATCCTGTACCTTGACGCCATCCACTAATAACCACGACTGCATCACCGACCTTAATGTACTTTTTTTTTCTGAGAGAATCGATACCAGTTTGTATCCGAGTTTGTATGTCTTTACTCCAATCTGATAAACTTTCCTCTAAATTACATTTAAACTACGTTAAAACTATT